GTATTACTGATGGTGTGGAGCGCTTCCCAAAGGATGCAGTACATTTCCGGCAAAGACGTGAAGTACTTGAGCCGTGGTGATGAGCTCGATACGACAGGCTGGTCAACGCTCAGAGATAATCTTCGGAGAACACACACAAAGCTGTAGATTGGGTTGTCACACACAGACCAGCCAAGCACGTAGTTTCAGGTTATTCTCCCGTTCACAATCCACCGCATGTGAAAATAACACCGAGTTATTTGTTCCCGAAACGCGTCATGTAGGTTCATTCAAACCTGTGTGCTTCAGGGCACATAAAGAAAGGAACATCTGAAAGGCTGTGTCACAGGTTTTTCGTCTAAGGCTGTTTTTTTTTCTCCCTCTTCTGAAAGCTTTGTCGTTTTCTTTACGCAGCTGTTGGTTTTGGATGGACAGATGCTGAAGACTGAACCTGCCTCTGTCATGGACAAAATCCAGAAGTTTCTCGGCCTCACCAACAGTATCAATTACCACAAAATCTTAGCGTGAGTATCCCTGAGACACTTTATATAGACAGCCTTCGGTTTTCCAGAGTGATGTACAGCTGTAGCTTTGATAGTGATTTCAGATGCTAAGCTTGAAACAGAATGTTTAAGTCACAGGGGGTGTGGAGGCTCTTTTGTTGTATTGATAACCAACTACTGTTGTGCAGATTTCCTGTTAAGTGTTTTTGAGGCTTTTTGTTCCAATGTATCGTCTTTAAATGGGATTTCTTCACATAAATGGAATATTACATTCATAAACAGTGTAAAGGATAGCAATATTTTATGTATTTTCTCCACATATTGAGTACCCTTTCAGTAAAATCCACTTTCAACTTGCACATTTAATATTTTAGGTGAACTTCTTTAGCTTTTTCATACACAAATCTGTTCAAAGTTTTGTGATTGGAGGGTAGTTTGGGGGCTCAGTGTTCCCCCAAGAATGTTGATTTGTGAACTGGAAGAGATGGGTTGCTTTATTGCTTTTTGACTCTGCCAACAATAGCTGTGAGGGAAGCTCAGAGGATCTTTTTGGTTTTAGATGATGAATTTGAATCTGGCTCTGTCAATCAAAACTGCAAATACATTATTCTAACATAAAAAAAAGAAAGAGAAAAAGGAAAATTCACGGAAAAGCAAAAGAGAACAGTGGAGAGAAAATGTATCTTATTGAACTAAAGTGGAGTGTTTTCTGCAGTTCCCAATTCATTCTTTCTATTTATTTATTTCTTATGCACAGGTTTGACCCCAAGAAAGGTTTTTGGTGTCAGCTTCTGGAGGGGGGAAAGACTAAGTGTTTGGGAAAGAGTAAAGGACGCAAGTACCCCGACATGGACCCTGTGGTATGGTTAAAAGTAAACAAGCTAACAATAACTTCAGTTTTCTTTAGATACATTTCTTAATGCTAATTTATGTAACTGATTGTCGTCCCCAGTCCCTGGAGTTCCTCAGGGAGTACTACCGGGATCACAACATCGAGCTGTCCAAGCTGCTCTACAGGATGGGTCAGCCGCTGCCCGGCTGGCTCAGGGAGGAGCTGGTCCACAGCAGGTAGCAGAGAAGAGAAGGGCTCCACGCCGCACCGCTGCTTTCCTCTGCCAGGGCTCACCGGCCCAGTGGCCCGAAAGGTCGAAGATCCCCCGTTATTTCTGGACAGATGCGGTCATCTGTGCACATTTGAGGACGGGACATCAAAGCAGAACTCAAAACGTAACTGTGATCTTCCTAAAAGCAAAACTGCCTATAGGGCTCTCGGGAGACCTTCAGTGTTAATAATCGCAGTCCCATGCTCCCTCATCAAACTTCCTCTCTTCGTGTCAACTGTTGCTGCTCGACGGATGAGACAGATAAACTCATCTTGAGCAGTATGAGGCCTGAGAGGTGTTCAGCGGAGCTCTGAACTCTATAACGTGCGTCCCCCGGCGATGCAGTGGCGTTTGGAGCACATCACAGCGGGCAGCATGACGCTGAGTCGACGCATGGCGGCCCGATGAAGACAGAAGCTCTGTTCAAACTCATTTTAATATAAGTGACGCGAGTGGGACATGTGGAGATGACTCAGGCTGCGTTATGTAGCCTTACTCAATAAGCCTTGGTAGAATTTTAGTTATCGCATTTAAAGTGCCAGGACAGAATCTCCTCCAGACTCTCACCACACAGACTTTTTGAGGGTTCTTTTATTTTTGTCAACTTGTATGTTTTGTTTTTACTCTGATTTGAACATTTCTTTGATGCTGATTGAAATGCATTTGTAGAATGTACCAAAACTAAACATCTTAGTTGTGTTGTTTTTCACTTAGGCAGGGTGTACGGTGCAGTTGTGTATCCTGTTTACGGCTCGGCCTGCTCTTTGGTCAGTTTCATGACCGGCGAAGGGGGCTGAAGCAGGAGAAGAAGGAACAGACGTTGAAAGCACAAAGGCGCTCTTATTCTCTGAACGTACAGGAAACTGGAAAGCACACTAACTAAAATGCTCCTCCTCCAATCTGTGAAGAAGATCATAAGCTAGCTACTGTATTTTAATTGAGCACTCTGGTCCTGTACATTCAGACGGTGTACATTTCCAAATCTGTTTTCAGCATTGGGTTTTTTTGACTAAATGTATATTTTGTTTTCTCTTTTCCTTCATTTTTTTCAGTCATTTCATATACTGGAGAAGTTCAAAATTAGGGGTAAAAAGCTGTCTGTTGGTCACGGGTGAGCGTCAGCGGGCAAACCAACAGCCGGCCCAGTGACCACACACAGATGTTTGGTTGTCAGCCAACGTTTTATCACTGCAACTAGATGTCAAGCGTAGATAACAAAAAGCTGCTGTTACTGCAATAGTTTTGTATGTTGTTCTGACGTAATAACAATGCACATGTTGGTTTTTATCATTTCCTGACTTTGTAATGTACATAAAGCGAAACCCTCAGTAGACCTAAATTATTGAATGTGTTTGGGTTTACGCTGCATCAGCCCGTTGTCGTAGTGTGAAACGTCAGTGCTGCACTGAGGGCAGTGTGGATTCTTTCATCATGCGGGGGTGACGCTATAAGACTATTTCCTCTCATGACCTCTCACTGCCAATATTGTGCAAAGGTACCGAGTCTTTCCATATTAAGTATTACATGATAACACATAACAGCAAAATGGTACTAATCTCCTGGACTGTATGATAAAGATTTGTAATTGTTGTCTATAATTTTTACAGTGTAACTAATATTGTCGGTGCTTTTTAATTTGCAAATAAAACACCACTGTATTTTTCAGTAGTTGGATAGTTTTATGCGTACTTTTTTCAGATTTTAGGATGCCGGTCTGCTGTTTTTAGATTTTCAGATTTCACAATGTTTGGGGAGGCCACATCTGTTAAAAAAAAAAAAACCTGTCCTTATGTTGGGGATAAAAATGTATCTGGACAGTTTTTAAACTGTGTTTTATGGACAAGAATTATTATTTTTTTTAGATGATCAAGATTATTTTTACAGTAAAGGAAAATTACTTTGTGTCCAGCCTGGTGAGAAACTTCAGGAAGCAGATTTGTCATCGTCAGAGGCCATCATAAAGAGTAAACATTGATAAATGAAGAGAATTCACCATAAGCCGAAGACTATGAGCTTTAACTTTAAAAATTTCAAACATCATAGATCAATAGCTCAATATCTGAAACAGTCAGGCTCATTTGTAAAAATGAATGAGAGCATGGCTCCCAGTGGGACAAGACGTCTGACAATGTGACATAGTTGGACGGATTAAATTGAAAGTGAACAGGGATAAAACCGACCCAGAAGTATCTGATCTAATCTGCAATGATCAAAATCAATACTCTGCTAAAACACTAGCTGCATTTCACTCTAAAAAAGACAAAAGACAGAAAGACCTGCATACACAAACACAACTGTGTTAAAGGCCTGGCAAAGCACCTCAAAATGGAAGCCACCAGAGGTTTGTGGACAAAGCATTTAAAATAAATGAATTACATTTTTAAGCGCTGTACACAAAAGACCGTATTCATTATATAACTTGTGTCTAAATACTGTCAGACCAAAGTATAATAAAGGCAAACCTGGCGTTTACGTGGAAAGGTTTCAAAACCTGCTGAGGGGATTTTGTTTGTTTGGAATTTGTCCAATGATTTGAATGCATCCTGTTTATTCTTTGGTTTCATTTTAAATAGAGGCGCTTTCAAATAATGTAATACAATGTGAAGAACAGATTTACTGAACAACAAAATCAGCTTCAGTTTATTTTATTATTTTCTAATTATTTATCCTGAGAGAATACCTAAGAGAGAAGATGTAGGCTATGTGCACTATGCCCTTCATCACATCATTACTTATTGTCTGCAAAACACCAACAGCAAAAATAGTCTCAGTATTCACTGAGAGGAGCACTCTTAGAAAAGTTTCCCTGACTCTGATATTTTGGATACTATAAATATGTTTCTTAATTTCCTTGTTTTTGTTACTGAAGAAAAATACAGTTTTTCCTTTGAAAGAAATAAATGTTCATGTTTACCGAACTCCTCAATATGACACGCTGAAGTTTTAAAACAATTCACTAAATACCATCAAATAACTTCAGCCTTGGAAAGCCCCATCGTGCTCTCACTGTTGTCTGCCTCATCAACAAGTGATGATGTGAAACCTAACCAATCAGAATTCAGCTCACTGTTCCATCCCACAGCGTTTTTTTTTTAACAGCACAACTTTTTCTCTGGAACATGTTTGATGCCCTTTCCTTATTCGGGAGGTCCTTCGTTATTCTGAGGGCATTATAAGAAGTAGGCTTGCCTTGATTTCCTTAGTTTGTTTCTCTGTTGAAGCTGAGAGCTACCCCTGAACGGAATGGACCACCCTGTGGATGATGCCCCCCTGGCCAGAGGGAGCCTGGCAGGCAGTGAGGAGGCCCTCGTTGCCCGTGCTGGACCCAGAGGGTGAGAAAAACCTACTACCCATACATCTGACTTTAATCCTCGGTGTTTGATCTGAAGATCTTCCTTTATACCTTTTTCCCAGTAGATTACACTAATTTGTATCACATAAAAAACCTGTGATTTTAACGGATAAATATAAAAGGATCAATTGAGCTGCATCCTATTATTTTGAAATGTAATACGTCATTTTTGATTTGCTTTCACTTATCTCTATAGACAATTGTATTTGTTGTGAGGTTATGTCGGATATGTATGAGTATAACAAAGCATTTTCAAACATTTGAAATCTGAAGAACGTTGTCATCTCATAATTAGTATTTATTCGAACTCCTTTTTAGCTGCATTAGACGATCGCCTTCTTCAGACCAAATCAAACGTCTGCCGAGTAACTGGTGACGCAGCCAATTATTACTGACTCATGATTTGTCAAATTGAATTGTTCCTTCGTTTAAAGTTTTTGTTCGTTTTGCTCTTTGAAGTAAAGTAAGTTGAATAATATTTAGGTAATTTCGGAAGCAAATCCACCTTTTAAGTTGTTCGATTTCGTGTCTAATAACTAGTATCTTAAATGGGCTGTCCGTGAAACATGCAGGTACTTCCGCCAAACACCACAGGGGATATCTGCCTGGTAACTAGTGACGTTCGTATGCTATTGGCTAAAGCAGAAAAGAAGCGATTGTTTTTTTAAATGCAAGTTTAAAAAATAGGGAGAATTTATTATTTTTCTTATTATTACCTGAACTTCAATGGTGCTATACTTCATACTTTTTACTATACTTATAGCTCCTCTTTTAGAAATAAAAAATAAACAATTTATTCAACCAGAACAGTGTAAATATAGGATTTATTAGAACTGTATTTATTCCACAAAATGGATATTTTCTAGCTATCATGGCATGATGAAAGTCGGATCCTTTTGTTGTTCAGGTGAAAACCCAGAGCCCATAATTGTCCACCACCTCAGTTTCAGTTTTTTAAATTAAAGGTCTTGGGCTAAAGTGTGCTAAAGGTATATTTTACTTTTTTAGTGAGATGGATGGATGTGTTTTTTCTTTTAAACTTTTCTTAGTGGACTCATTTGTTTGTGACAAATAGACAAAAGAATCCACATAACTGTTAAAAGGACAAAAAGCATATAAAGACGATCTTGGATGAAAGGACAGAATAAAGATACTGTTTAGATGATGTAAGTCCCAAAAACTTGTAGTGTTGATTGACCAGATGTTATGATTTTCCTTTTCTGTTATGCACAGGAAGAAAATAATTTACCTTTCTCTTAAATATTCCGAACACGCAATTTTAGAAATCCCCTTAAGTAAGAATGTTTAAGAAGGAGGAAGTTAAGATCCTTTATAGTTTCCCTGAGTATTTCTGAATGTCAAATCATTGTTACCCCCACCCTACCAGCAGACTTGTTGTTCCCTCCTCCTCCTATTTATTTCTTATAAGTGTCTCCATTTTCCCTTTTTTGCTTTTTACTTCATCTCTCTTGCAGTGGCTCCAACAGTCGTGCTCTGAAGATAGCCGCCCTGACCACGTTGGCATGCCTGCTGCTGGCCAGCCAGGTCTTCACTGCTTACATGGTTTTTGATCAGAAGCAGCAGATCCACACACTCCAGAGGAGCTCTGAAAGAATGGGCAAACAGATGGCACGCTCATCCCATGGTACAAGGAGGAATCTAATCGTGATGCGTCATCATGCATAATCATGAGCTGTGTAACAATAAGGATGTTTAATTTAAAAGTCTTCATCAGAAAGGAAAAGCGCTGAAAGGGGAAGTGACAATTAGTATTAGGAAAGATCTTGTTTCAAACTAAAAAGAGAACTGAAAGGATGAGTCACTCAATAGAAGAACTGAAATCTTAAGGTTGAGCCTTCTTTGGTGAGATTTGGGATTTACATATAGAATATTATACAATTTGTACATGTAGAAAACAAGCATGCAAAAAAGGAACATTTGAATTTCAAGACAAATTCTTGATAGAGAGGATTTTACTTTTCTAGCCAGCTGCCTTACGCCTAAGATATTTAAGGAGTACGTATTGTCTAAATCATAATTCTTCCTTGTTAGACCTAACTTAAAGTTCAGATTTGTTTCCACATGGCTCCATTTTTTCAGCTATGTAACTTCATCTGATGTGAGGTGATTTTACTTTGGGTCAATGGGATTTTTCTCTTGCTGCTGCTTTCCAGCCATGTCCCCAGTGAAGATGGCCCTGCCCATGAACACCCTGCCTCTGATGACGGACTTTACTGATGAGGACTCCAAGAAATCAGAGACTCCCTTGACCGTAAGTCGATACTTACAGACTTTTATTTGATGTTTAAATCTGTGACACATAACAAAGTTTGCTCCTCTCTTTCTCCCCTCAGAAACTGCAGGACATTGCTGTTGTGAGTGTGGAGAAGCAGCTGATGGATCTCATGCAGGTATGTCACACCCTTGTGCTTCGTAGCTTTGCTCCTGTTTAACGTCGATGCATTGGGGTCTTAATGCCCTGACGTGTTTTGAGCAGGTCAGTCTGCCGAAGTTCAATGAGACCTTCCTGACCAACCTGCAGAGCCTGAAGAAGCAGATCAATGAGAGCGAGTGGCAGGTGAAGCCCCACACACAGACACACTTGTGCGGGACTAACGAGGGGAAACCAGGAACGAATCTCATTGAATTATACATTCTTTTTTGAACATGTTGCCCTCTGCAGAGCTTTGAGTCCTGGATGCGTTATTGGCTGATCTTCCACATGGCCCAGCAGAAGCCAGCAGGCCCCACTCCCCAGCCAGGTTACTGAACCCTCCTTTCCTTTTTTGTATTAAACCAATGTACTGACCCAGATAAGTACTGAGATAATCCATACGGATTTTCTGAATTACATTACCCAGGCATGTGACCTTTAGGGCCCTGGGGCTATAATATGTTACTTAGTGTTATTATTGATAGACAGAAATACTGACAGAATCTGAGGATGGATTTTTGTATTTTGGTACACATATATTACAACTAGATGCACATGGTTTAAAAAGAAATCATTTGCACTGCTTGGTCGATCTGTAAATATTCTGATATCTGAAGTGTTTTCCATGTATCTGAGTGAAGTGAATTCTAGTCTCCAGAAACCGTCCACATGTTGCTGAAAATGCGGCATAATCCCCTGTGTTCAAAAGCCGTCTTTAATCTTCGAATGACAGCCTCTCAGATCCAGACCAAATGCCAGCTGGAGTCGGCACCTGGAGGACGGAAGATCGGTTCCTTCAAGCCTCAGTGTGACGAGCAGGGCCACTACAAGCCCATGCAGTGCTGGCACGCCACCGGCTACTGCTGGTGCGTGGATGAGGCCGGTACCCCCATCGAGGGCACCACCATGCGAGGCCGCCCCGACTGCCGCAGAGGTAAAGAACACATTACCAGGGCTTCGTTTTGTTACGAGAGGCTGTCTCAACCAATGAACTGACTCCTCTTTTCTTCCTGCTTTGTCTTATTTAGGTGTGCCATACGGCCGCATGATGGTTGCACCCAGGCCCATGCAGAAGACCCTGAGCATGGGTAAGTGTCCTGGACGAGTATGGGCAATGGATTATATCTGTATTTGCATTTTGTTGAACTATCTTATTTAATGTTCTGTGTTTTGTTTTTTTGTTTTTCAGAGGAGCTGGCCAAACCTTGAAGCATTAAGTTTCTCTCATTACCCAATATTTGCAGACATGAAAAGCTCGCTTTCTGAACCTGAAGCTGATCTGCAACAGCAGCAGTTTAAATTCCCAATGAGTTACTCTGCGTATAACCTTGATTCTTGTAATTTTGCTTGCTGCAAAATCAGAGTGCTGTTACACTTTAGTTCTTCAAGTATTTTTAATTTCTGTCCTTTGTAACAGGTACATTTGGGGTGTCTTCTTTTAATATACAATAAAGAAAATAAAGAAGTGCTTCAATCAGTTTATGACTAAAGATAGCTTAAAATGCTGGTTCACCCAAATTGCAAGACTTGGAGGTTATTCATATTTCATCTGCTATGTTTTGAGACCCTTCCATTTTTTTCTCTTGCACAGCACAAACCAGATAAGTGGATGGTTATTTCTGGTGCATGGATGGCTGTTAAATGATGTAATTAGGCAGAAAGAGAGTCCCCTGTCACTCGATTGACAGTCCAAAAAATGTTCAGCTTTCACAGCTTTTACAGTTTTCAGAAGTGTTAACTGTAGGGTTTGTGGGTCATTCAAAATATAGGCGGCTCTGTTTTTAAAGAGAAGTTTCAGTTCCTTAAAAGTTAGCAAAGTACCTAGAGAGCACAGAGTTTTATGATTTGGTTGAACCCATCTTCTGGAAGGATGCAGGCATTTAAAGTTATTTTAAAGGTGTTTGTTTCATAAAAGCTTAATAAAGATTGCCTATTAAGACTTTGCATTGCTATACGTATTCCATTATGAGATTCAATGAGAGCTTAAGCTGTTTGCTAAATAAATGCAGAATAAAACATGATTAGACACAGCGACCGGTGTCAATTGGTCATGGATTATTGTTGCATGTTTTTTTACAGGGATTTTTTTTTACTCTCTTGTATTAGCTGTGCTGCCCAAACCTAAACTAATTTCTGTGCATGGAACTTTATAAATGTAATTTTTTACTTTTAACTGTGAAAAGATCAAGGAAAAAGGTGATGGTTGTTTTTTGCTTCTGCACAGCTCTCTGGGAAAAGTGCAATGATGCCCTTGTCCTCGCCTGTCCCTTTTAGCCTCTTGGCTGCTTTGGTGGTTCCACTCCATGCTGTGTTGAACTGTTTATTGTGCTGACACATCAAGCAACATGCCAAAACGCAGGATTCAGCATGATGTCAGGGTGTACTTCAGTGGTGCAGACACACAGGGTGAAATGGAGCCTTACAATCAGCATGAAGATGCTCACGCATGTGAAACAGGAGAGGGAGCTGTAAAAACATCAGTGGTGACGCTCAAGCTCACTGACAATTTGGATATGAAACCTTAGCCACGGTGGTGTGGCGTGGTGGTTAGCACCGTAGCCTCACAGCAAGAGGCTTCTGGGTTCAATTCCCCGGGGCAAGGAACTTTCTGTGTGGAGTCTGTATGTTTTCCCTGTGTCTGCGTGGGTTTTCTCTGGGTTCTCCGGCTTCCTCCCACTGTCCAAAAACCTTTACGTTAGGTTGATTGGACATTCCAAATTGCCCTTAGGAGCGAGTGTGAGTCTGCATGGTTGTTTGTCTTTGTGTGTGGATGGACAGGCCGACCGTCCAGAGTGTACCCCCCCTCTCGGCCATTAAATACTGGGATGGGCTCCAGTCCCCCTGCAACCCCATTTGGGAATAATCCGTTCAGAAAATGAATTGACCCTCTTGATTTTATTTTATTTTTTCAAATGGTGAGTGGACTACATCCATACTGAACTGGTTGTGGGTCACAGCCATCCATTACTCTTAAAAGTTCCAGGATTGACCAAAACAAATTGAACATGGTAAGATTATTAACTATAAAGTTTTGTAAATCCAAGCTGCCAATTACCTCAAGTTGCTTGAGCCTGAAACTAATTTTGCAAAGCTGGGACAAAGTCAAATAAACAAGATCGGAATACGGTAAATGTGGTAGCATCTTTATCAGGAAATCAAAAGCTAGATCTACATGAAACATTTCAACTTTCTACTTGGTTAAAAGCTTTTAAATCTTAAATGCTATCATCAGCCTGGATGTTCTCCCTGCAGAGAGACATCCCTGTTAGCCTGAGACCATCATCTTCCAGGATGGCACAGATGGTTTGTCTGTGGAAGACTTGCCTGAGAGTTTCTATATAACACATCAACAGTTTGGCAAGCAGCTCAGATAATGAATTTGTATCTAAAATTTGTCAAGTGGAGCTCTGGGACACCACAGCTCTCACAATGTTTGACATTGTTGTAATTTTGTTGATGTTTCCAGCAAACGTGTGAGTGGGCTTACAGTTTTCTGGGTTGCTTATGAAGGGTGTACAATGAATATTAAAAAGGGCCTGCAGCTCTTTGTTTGCAATCACTTTGTCTGCATGCGTGTGTCTTGTCTTGTTTTTCTACTCTTGTATATAATCTCTCATCACTTTGCCACTGTTTATTTTTCAAGGCATCTCTTTAGTTTTTTTTTTAACCGAACATCTTTAAAATTAGTTTTTGCGATTTTCCCCTCTACTTTCTTTCCATTTAAATAGCAATGATATGGTTTTTCTTCTGGATGCCAGATGAGTATTATTAGAGAATGATTACATTTGTCAATTAAAGTTAAACCACATCACTATCTTTAACCAAAACATATTTTGTGACTTATTTCTAATCTTTTTGCATGAAATGTGATTATGCTTGCTGTTTTTGTGTTCCATTTTTTATTGCTGATTTAGTATTCATTGATTGTTGCTTTGATTACCTCCTTTTGAAACAAGATATTCACCACCTGAAACAATATCAGATGACGTCTCAGACACATATATCACATCCTAACAGGTTAGAGATTATAAATCCTCATAATTTGTGATATACATTAGTTAAGATATAAGAGTAATTTTTAAAATGTCAATTTAATCATAATAAATCATTTTAAAGTTATTTTTCAGATTTTAGCTTCATCGGTGGTAGCAAAATATCAATTAAAACAAAAATCAACAAACCTCTGTAACGATGAATTTTACCCAACACGACACATTAAAGATTACTGGAATTCTTTTCAAATGACTTTTACCCATCAATAAGCCAATTTGAGACCTTTTCATCTGTCTTTGTAACTCTATCCTCATGACTTAGACCAGTGAAAGTAGATTCTGCTTATGAATAATTCAGAACTGTGTAATCATATCCAGACGAGCCGGTGGCTGTGTTTGCTGTATGCATCGGATGGCCGCAATGAACATCAGTGCACCAGTAAGTATTTATTTACAGTGTTATATACAAAGGGTACAGATAGAGGGATTTAAAAGAATAAAGACTGGTGTGTTTGAAGATTTGATAATCCTTTACTGATTTATATAACTGACAGGTATGTAAAGCAGCTCACCCAGTGAGAGTGGGAGTTATTCTGGCCTCAGACCCAGGTAAAGAAAGTACAGAAATCTATTCACTCATAGAGATGATGTGAAGATTAATTCTAATCTTTTTTGTGTGTTTTCCTCAGATAGCACAGGCTGCTTAGTTATTGACAAAGATGGACATGGAGTTGACTACAAATCAGCAGATAAGGTAAAACATCTGAACTCACTGATCACTTCACACTGCAGTTTTATTTCATGGTATCTGAACATTCTCACCACCTTTAGTGATTGTACGTTTTTCAATTAGGGCACCAAGTCCTTCACATTTGACCAGGTTGTTACTTCTGACGACGTTCAGGTAAAAGAATGGCTTCCGAAAACCTCCGCTAAATGTTGTATTGCATTGTACTATTGGAATTAGAAAACCTGGACCTTAAATGTGCAGAGTCTCCACTCTGAGGTGCTCCAGCCTCTTACGGAGTCTGTATCAAGTGGATATAATGCAACATTACTGATATGTGGAGCCAACACTGAGACGACAAGAGCGCTGACCGAACACAGTATCATCAAACAGGTGGAACCCACAAACAAAATACACTTTACATAAGCCGGTTTTATGTTTTTAATCTTATTACTATCCTAAAAATTTGATTCTGTTTTAGGTCTTGACAAATCTCTTTCATTCTTTCACATCAGGAAGGAGAACAGAGTTCTTCATCTCTGTGTCATTTCTTCAGGTTTGTTGGGCAAATCACTGTTGTGGTTTCAAAGCATATTTGGCACGATATAAGACAAACTGATGCTTTTTTAATGTCAGTTTTACCCAGATGGAAGTGCAGTGGATCTCCTGAGTCTTCACAAACAGACTTTAAAATTTGTATCACATCCAGTCCTTGGAAGGTTTGTCAGAATTGTCCAACTGATAACCCAAGAGCTAGTTAACAACATATATCACATATGCATATTAAAATGCTTTATTTATAGCACACTCATACTGATTGGATTTTTTTTTCAGCCTTGTGGGAGGTTTGTGTGAGGTGTGTGTGTGCTCAGCAGAGGAAGCCTGGGCTCTGTATGAAACATGCAGGGAGACTATGAACAGCAATTCTGTCTCTATCTCCAGCCGGTAGGTAAAATAAACTCTGGTCTGCCAATCCATTAAGATAAATGAGAATGAACTGATTTAATGCAGAGATTAGAGTAAACTCTATTGCTGTTACGTGTGGTTGGACTGTTGCGTAATGAATTTTCCAATTCTCTCATGCCATGATAATGTCAGTCAGTGTGGCCTCTCTTCAGACTTTGGAGTGAGTAACATGTTACATGTTCATGCTGTGCATGTCCCCTCAGATGCAGTTCCCTGTTCTCAGTGGCGGTTGAGTGGAAACTCAATCCAGAGCAGGTGGAGTTGGATATCTGCTGCAGCAGACTGCAGCTGTTCAGCCTGGCAGGAGGAGCCAGCAGGACTGACCTCAGAGGGTCAGTGACATTGTCAGTAGGCGATCAGTTACATGACCCAGAGAGAGTAAAAATGATGCAATTATCTCATGTTCAGCTGTTAATTGTTTCCACTCTGTCCAGAGCACAAGCAACTTTTTGAGAATTGTTACGTCATAGTTGTCATGGAGCAACAGTCAATGAATGGACAAAGAATGAATGAAATGTTTGAACAAAAACAGATGTGGGATAGTTTAGGTCCACTGACTTTCATGCAAAGTATTAGATCCATTTAAGATTTCCTCCCTGGTCCCTGTTTCCTACTTCTCGCTAATCAATGCTTAGTTTCAGGAGTCAGAAGGACATTTGCAGAGTCAGAATTAAGGTATGTGATAGATATGGAAAAACACACGACTTGAGTTGGAATAATACACACAATTAGGTTTATGCAAACATGGGTGGGTCAAAGTTAAGTAGACGCGCTAAATAAAATTGCCTTATCAAGATTTCTAACTAGGGACTGCATTACACCATCATTACATCAGGCTGATAAGTTCACACCATTCTTAATCAATCCAAATGTCAGATTTATTTAACCCTGCTTGCAGATGGACAGGACTGGGAGTAAAATTCATGCCGTGGTGGAATGTTGCTCTTACTGTAATTTTACTGAATTAAATCTGTAAATCAGAATCTCTAGATAGTCTTTAGAGCCAGTTGATCAAAGAGGAAGCAATTATTACTGTATAAACTTATTTAAACCGAGAAACAGAGCACCACTGCAGTGGGTGGTCGGTTTCCAGCTGCTGCAGGCAGCTCTCACAGAGGGGAGACTGCAGAATGGAGCTGTTAGAGGTACATTTCAACTGAGTCAATATGTAATACCCTTCGCCTCATATTTCACGTTCTCTGTGCTGTACACCCGCGGAAATACATATACATTCCTATCTATTTCTAGCCTGCTTCCTGGACTAGATTTTGATTGAATGGATCACCAAAAATGTGACATCAATTTGAAATAAAATCCTGAAAATTAAATATAGTTAAGTTTTGACAATTTGTTTTATTTAGCAGTATGGTTGCCCCCTTCACTACAAATACAACTTTGAATCCTATTGGATAGGAAACTGAGATTTGCTGCCTTGGCTGTACGAAGTGAATCACTGCCACAAGGTCCAAGGAAGACGTATTGCCTATTACACTGACAAACGACGACAGAATAACTATCATGAATCAAGACTATGCAGTTGCAGTATGAGCTCGCTTGTGGATGAACCTCCTGGCCTGGCTCCCCCAAGCTTATCATTCTCCTCGCAATCTACCAGGCACGCCATTCAGTTCAGACACCCTAAAAAACATACCTCTTTGAGGACTGATATTTTTGTATTTGTGGAGTTATTCTTCAAAAGATTTCACCGTCTAGCAGTAGGATCAGAGGGAGTGAATTTAGCCAAGGAATTAACATCATAACAGAAGTTAAGTCTTTTAGGATAGAAATCTGTAGCCGCCAAAGACGTTTTTCTTTTTCTTTTAAAAGATTTTCAGAGATGAATTGAAAGACAGTATCGAAGAATGGTGTTTCAGGGAAGAATAAAGACAGTATAGTAGAGTCACACAGGTGGATGCAGGGTTGAGGATGACTCTTTGAAATGCACTCTGAAGCAGAGGCAGCGTGGCTTCAGGCTAAGCGGATTGTTAAGGCGTGACTAACAGGTTTGTTCTGAACGTCATACGTTGAATAAGAGCTCTACCTATTATGAAAGCAGCAAATACACACATGCTGAACCTCATTTGAAAATGTTTTTTCTTCCAAATGTGGTGTACTGAAATCCAGCTCAAAGGAGTTAGGAGTTATTCATGCTTGCATTCTTCCTCATCTATAACATTTTCTAGAGTCAGCCCACTGGCCAAGATTTGGGATCAAATGCCAAATTCTGTTGCTACAGTCGACGACAGCCTCCTCAACTTCCTCCTAAAGGATTCCTTAACAGGAAATACTAGGACTTTCCTCATCTACTGTATCAACCCTCAAAGTAAGAGCCCAGACCTAACAACAGAAATCAAAACTGACTGTTTCATTTGTGTGAAGGTTACTCCGGTAATTTCCTCCTTACAGGTCTTCTTCACGATGAGACACTGTGTGCTTTAGACTTGGCCCAGAGAGTGAGACAACTGGAAACGTCACCCACAGCTGGCTGCTGGAGTCCCAGGAGCACTGAGCGTCAGATTCGTGAAGGCATCATGGAGCTACAAACCATGATAATGTCAGGGGGGGAAAGTGAGCTTCACAATATTTACAAGCTGGCTGAACTGTCTGAAAACCTGCAGGTACCTGATGCAACAAGCTGAATATCAGAGGGAGTTCTCACACTATGCTGTCTGAGATCTGAAAATGAATTATGCGATCTCTACTATAGATGGTGAAAAATAAGTCATGGGAAAAAAGGATGGAAGAGTCAAAGAAGATAAAAGACCAAATGAAGGTTTGTTTTCCTCATTAGTGCAGTGCAGCACCGTTTTTAAGCTGTCTTTATCCTCATCATGACCAAATAGCGAAACTTGTTTTTCCCGTAACTCAGCAGATCAGTAAATCCTCAAATAGCAATCAGCAGTTTTCTGGAGGGCATCACGCTGACAAGAGAAAGAGCACGGAAACAGTGAAATATCTCCAGGATCAGTTGAAACGGGAAATGGAACAACATATGAGAGGTAATATGGTGACGTTCAAAAGTGTCATTTTATCCAGAGGGGGAATTATAATCAGTACATTCACTGTCTCTCATTTTCACAGAAAGTAAAGGCAGAGTGGAGAAAGTCCAGGAGAGGGTAGCCAGAATCCAGCAGCTGAGAGAGGCTCTAAGTGAAGAGACATTGAAGAGTGGGGCCGTCACAGGGCAATCACAGCTTTGTCACCAGGTAACGGGCATCATGTGACGCTCACACAGACCGATTTGTTTATTGCACACTAACTGTTCCAGGTTTTAATATGAATGGATTCTGAAGCTAAGTGATAACATTTTCTTGAAAACCACAAATAAGCGTGGTACTTTTATTGCTTTGTTTGCATGCTCTTGATCGTTGACATGCCACTGAAACTTGAGTATGTACAGTATAGGTATTGCTTTTGTACAAAATCTAATTGACAACAATGTAATGAAAACAGCTCAGCTGGTTAACAACATCCCAATCAAACCAATTGCTTTTCCTATAATTATGACAAATTTTTAAAAGCCTCTTCAAAGTCCTTCCCCTACTGTTATCAGTATAACCCATTTTTAAAAGGTAAGAAAGTGTTGAAACAGTTGGAAAATGGTTATTTTATTCAGTCATGAATAAAAAATAAATAACTGCCATAATTCTTTCCCCTGGGAGCTACATTTTGTGGGAAGCTTTATGCTTGTGGCAACTGGTTTGATAAGGCTGAGTCAATAGTCTTTTCAACATCTAAATAAGATTAATGTGTGCAAGAGTGGGCAACACACACTGAGACATTTATTTTGCCAATTTAATCATTAGTCTCAGTTGGAATACAGTGCAGCACAGGAGCGGAGGAGGCAACTTAAGGAGGATCATGGGAGATTAATTCAGGAAGAGGTGGTGAAGATGGAGAGAGACTTGGCACAGGAAAACCTACCGGTGAGATAATGAGATGCACCGTTGTTTAACATTCAGTGTGTGATCTATCTCACTGCTGAGTCAGTTCAAATTAGACCAAGGCTGGATGTTTTGTGGGCAGGGAGAACTACTGCATTTCAAAACTTTCTTCCACGATTTCTTTCTGTTCCTTTTTCTGTTTTAATTGTGGTCGCTATCAGCCTGAAATCCCCCAGAGAGAGCTGCTGGTGCTGACCAGAGAGAGGCAGGTCCTGGTGATGCAGTTAGAAGCCCTGCGTGCTGAAGCCCAGCAGGCTGAGAAAGACCTAAAGGATCAATATCAAAGACACCAATCAGAGCTGCATTGTCTGAGGGAGGAGAGTCTGCAGGTGGGAGTCTACTGGGGTCTCTACAGAGCCCTGAACCAAATAACACTCATCTCTTATGTCTAATCCCTTTATTGCTTTTTGTGTTTTAAACCGAAACATCTAAGAGCCTTTTAATCTAAATATGCCCAGAGAACGTGTTCCTGAGTTCTCCATTGTGTTCAAAAGACCTGCCTGTGGGCAGCATGGAGAATAACCAGAGAATGTCCACATGGAGAATATGCAGGGTAAACACAGAAAGGCTCCAGTCAGGGTGGGAACCAGGGATCATTTTTGCTGCAGCAGTGTTCCAACGCAAAAATGTATGACACAAAACTCAGCAACTCAAATAAAACCAAAAATGTCCCATTTCCCAGTAAAGCATTTCTGTTGTATGGATATCTGAGCAGAAAGCTTGGCAGAACCCACCCCAGAAGTTGAATGGGTTAGATCCAGAGTGGGTTTTGTTTCTTCTAAATGAAGAAAGCTCTCCAAACAAAGCAAGGCCTGTGTCAAGGACAATTCTCTGACTCAATTTCAAATTACCTATATCTCTTAAAAGCAGAAGCATGGGCTCCATCTCAATTTCTCTTCCCAGAGAGGAGAAGTAACATGTATAACATTTAGATCGTAAGCTAGTCTGATATGCCAAAATGTCAGAGTCAAAGCTGTGGGAAAGCTATACTTTTGAAGAAGTACGGTGCTTAGTGCAGGCTCAAAGATGATCATGGTTTGAATGTGTGTGTGAAATTTTATGTAACTGAGAAATATGAGTGAGAGCTCCCCCCCCGCCCCTTTAACTATTGAACCATCCATTACACTTTGCTTTAGGTGTTCAGAGTGTTTCGTCAGGTAAGTGAGGAGCAGAGGAAGATTTCAGAGGACAGGTACAGGAGTGTGTTACTGGAAGCCGTGCAGGATGCCATCTACCTGTCGGCTCAGAACCAGCAACTGCAGGCCGATAACACACAGCTACGAAAGGGTCAGCGCGCACCTCTTCATTTCTACCACACAAATAATTCCATACGCATGTGACATGGACTCAGAACATTTCTTTTAACAGCACTGGGAGAGATGAAGGATGCCCTGGCAGTGCGAGGTGACCCTGGTGCCGACACACACTGTTAAACCGCTGTGTTTTCAGAAACAAATGCAAAGCAATGTCAGAGAGATTTTGCTTATGACACTTTATTAGTTAATGACATGATGTGGAACACTTCAGTTTAAAAAACAGCAGCACTCCTCAGATATATTAAATTTAGATATGATGTATACCTGTATCATCATAAGGCTGTATTGCAATGTTACACGATAATAAATCAAACATTTGATTCAAATGTTTCGATTTCGGTGTTGGCTGACATCTCTCACTTCGGCTGGCGTGGCTAATGGGTTAGTACCTCAACCCCTAAAACAGAGGCGGTATACTTTAAAGGGGGAGAAGGCAGAAAAGATACATGAGGAAAAGAACCCCCAAAAACTAAAGGCAGGTGAGCTGTGGTGAAGACTAGCAGAGGCTGTGACTGCTGTCATGGAGGGAGTGCTATTTGTAATACAGGTAAGCAGCCAGTCCAATCATGCAAACAGGAACTGGGAAAAAAGGAGTGAGCTGCAGATCTAAAAAGAGCCAGGACAACAGAGCATTAACCAGCATGGAGGAGGAAATAACAAACAGCCTGGTGATGCTGCTGCCATGCTTGAGAACCACGGACATCAGGAGCCCATTAACTGCCTGCCCCGCAATTATCACCCAAACAGCCCCCGAGTAGCCTTCCAAAAAGCTCTTGTCGCTTGTAACAGAGGAGAAATAGGACAGGCCGTTGATGGCCACGCCAAACACGTAGAGGTAGAGATTCTGCGCACTCAGGGGCAGCGTCTGGCTCTTCAGCACCCTCTCTGTGTAAACGGCTGCCAGCCCCGACACGCAGCAGTACACCAGCATAAGAAAAAGCCCCCAAGCTGTGACATAAAGCCCGGGACCTTCCCCGGAGACGGCTCTTTGGGAGTCCTGCAGGTCCAGGCTGCTGTAGCTGTGGCACACCCCCGCAGCCACCAGCAGGCCAAGCGCTAACCACCGGACAGCCCCGAGCCTCTTCCCCAAGCACAGCGAGTACAGCAGGGCTGTGGAGGCTATTTTGAGATTAGAGAGTACTTGGTAGGAGCTGGGGTCCATGTAGGCCTGCATGAGGACAACCAGGTTGTTGTTGAAGGCGTAGAATAAGGCGGGGACCGCGTAGGGAGCCACAAGGAGGAGGCGAGGAGGGGCCTGCAGGCCCGGCGGGCCTCTGGTGAGCAGCAGGCTCAGCAGAGAGATGAGGAGCTTAGCCAGCTCAATCAGGACGACACAGGAGGAGGCGCTGAAGGGGACCTGACCGTCCACCTTGGTGATGGTGATGAGCGGAGCATGAGAGCCGTAAATGAGGACCATCAGCCCCAAAAGGACACCCCACCCGATCCTCTTCTCCCACCGCCTCTTAAGTCCAGCTGGGGAACTGGGCCCCACATTCTGAATCACAATCATCCTCAATGATACACAATAAAGGCTTTATTTCTAACGCTAATGAATGCTCGTTCCTGTGCAAAATGCCAATTCAGGCCATTTGTTTACATTAATTAGAATTCTCTTATATTTAAATACTTATTACTTAATATTTAGTATCAGCCTTCTTTACAGAACTATTTGAATTGAGCAATAAATCTGTGGGGAATATTACTATTATAATACACTGCCAATTCCAGTTAGCTGCTCCAGGCAACACAAGTCAGGTAACATCATCTAGAGTAAGAAAGCTTAAAAATGTATAGGCACAGTGTCTTGCAGGAAGGGTTAACATTGGACAGATAAAAGTGGAAATGTACCTGCAGATGTAAATTGAACCAAAGACAACAAAAAATAAGTTAAAAAAAAAAGAAAGTCTGTTTTTGAGTTCCAAGTGAATTCCAGTTAAAAGACTGTACCCATAATCCAGTTTACAAAAAAATCCTGAAATCTGTCCTGTGTCAAACCAGTAGCTGCAGGTGTGCTCCTTCTTCTTCTTCTGGCTTTTTTTTTTTTTTTTGGTGGAAAAACCAGCAGTCTGTCCACATTACTTTGGTCCTTTTTTCAGACTGTTTATGCACTCTTTAACTGTCCTCTCAATGTTGGGCACCTCGTAGTTCTGCGCTGCGTAAATGCCTGTGGCCGTTCCCAGCAGCACCCCCAGGATGGCAGAGGAGCGGAGCTTGGCCACCACATAGCCGGCCAGAAAGCCCTTCAGAAACGGGGATCCTAACACAGAGCCTCCCTGACCCAACCAGAGATGAAGGGAAAACAGAAAAAACAGGATGTTAATCATAGAATTATAGCACACGTATGTGGGAAACCTGGAGCAGATCGGACACATTTTCCTCCTACAACCCACAATCTGACAACACAAAAAGCATAGGAGCACAATGACAACAAGCCTTCTTGACCTTACCTGAGGGATTCCCGCGGACACCTCGCTCTCCACGCGCCTCTGGATCTCCTCCAACTGATTCTTCAGCTGCGTTAGATCCCTCAACTGTTTCAGAGGATCCTACAACCACAAACAGATCGTTAACGCCACGGAACCGTGCGGCGATTCCAGCGTCATCGCACCTAGCTGCACAGAGAGCCTGACCTGACGGGCAGCGGCCCCCCGGACACATGGGTGGGTGAACCGCTTCTATCCGGGCAGAAGTTTCTGCTTTAGCAGCAAACTAGCCGCAGCCCAGGCCAACATTTGCCTTCACAGCCGAGTCTCTCTCTGTCTCAGTTTCACTTTTGAGATTGAGAAAACCGCTACTGAGAGAAACTAAGTTTCAAACTCCATCTGCTCGTGGCGGTGTTCTGCCAAAACAAGCGAAAAGGACATGTCTAAAGCCAGACACAGATAGTCACTCACCTTGTCATCCGCCATTTTGGTGAGTGCGTGGATCTGCAATCGACTTGTAAGACTGCTGTTCTCGAGCTTGATTAGTTTGGCCTGATTGAAAGTTGTGAAGATAACAAAAAAATAAAATAAAAAAAGGTTTGTCGCCCGAATGGTATGTACACCACCACATTGTTTTCTTCCCCAAATTCTTCAACTTTTTTTATATTACCTTCATCTTTAGTGTGCTGCTTCCATTTCTTCAACTATTTACCTTGAATCTACTAAAATTCAAAACAAACATGTCTTAATTTTTTTTTATTATTCTCTTAGAAGTCATATAATACTTTTCAGAGCACACTTTTAATTTTGATCTCATTATTCCAAAATGAAAATATGAGATACACTTTTACGGTTAATATAACACGTTCACTATTTTGTATGGCATAGACTGATCTAAAAAATGCAACAAATTAATCTACGGAAATATATATGAAACTAACGTTTAAATAATAACAGTAAACAGAAACAATATATTGTATTTAATGTATTTAATTCTTCCTTCCATCGCTACATGTAAAAAAAAAAAAAAAAAAAAGTAATAATGAGAGATTCATGATTAAATGTGTCCAACAAAAGATGGTGTTTCGACAAATTAATATCTCTGGTTCTTTCTTTTCTAACTGTATTAAGCAGTTATTTATATTATATGAGGTACTCATTGTAAACTACGTGATAAATAACCTGATTTTATACCACCATTAAGCCATGTTAACACTTGATTGAATCAGTCATGAGAGCGCTGATTCAGTTCAAGATACTGATTCGACCTATGGTCATGCACACAACGCACACTAAAAACATTACATTTTATGGCACGCAGGGGCCATATTCACGTGGCAAAAACGTCTTCGACAATTGGCTTATACACATCTATCACGGCATGCCATTGGTCGAACGACCATGGCAACACACCGCCATGTTTTCTTTTTTACTGCACGACGAGTAACGAGCATACTTTAGAGCATTTACAGACATTTACACATCGTAAATAGTGTCGATAACACGACTCATAGGCAACTTTCAGAATTAAATATCACCAACGCAATGCGTGACTTCTCCAATGACTTCAAATGATTGTTCAGGGCAGTTTTTAGAGCCTCGGGCCATCGTAGGTAAGGCTTCAATAAGGCGGAATTTCATTGGATAACCAACTGACTGTGCAGGCAGTATTAACACATGTCATTAAACCTGCCTTTAGCGCAGGGAAGAGCCGCTGTTTGTCTGTTTACATCGAACTGTGCTTTAGTTAACTTGTGAGCAAGGAGCTAAGCGATCTGGCGATTTGTCAGTTGTGCTATACTTACTAGTATCTTTAAGTTATATGTATCGGTTTTTTGTTGCAGCTAAACGATGTGCACCTTCTGAGTTAACAGTTGATAACATGTATTTTCATCAGAACAGACAAGTGACCCTGCTATCTGATGCATTACTATTAAAACATCTACACTAGAGATGATAATCTATACTTATTATTAAGCAATTCAGAATCCATAACGCGACTTTATAAACGTTTTATCTATGGCCCCCCTAATGGGATGTAAGGGAAGGAAATCATTACCCTTACAGTTAATTTGCCCTCCTTCAATGTTGAAAAATTAACAACAAACTAATCACGTACTAAATTTCAGTGCAATTAGATCACAGGTAAACATGGACAAAGTGGAACTGTTAGAAGTTGTCAAATCTGAGGAGGTTGGGAGCAACTGCGGCCAGATGGAGGGGGCCATTCCCAAAAAGAGGAAGAGCAAAGCCCAAGATGACTGTGTCGAAAGACCCAAAAAGCCCAGGTAGTGCACGTTATCCAAAGAGCTTTCAGGCATGTCGTGGACACAGATTGACCTTTAGACCTCTCCATTTCTCATGTTTGGATTATAGATTTAGAATTTGTCTGTCCTAGGTCTGCCTACCTGCTGTACTACTTTGATGTTCACCAGATTATGCAACTTGGGACCCCAAACATGCCACAGTCTGAGGTTAACAAGCGAATCAGTGAGAGCTGGAAAAGACTAAGTGTGGCTGAAAAAAGCCATTACCTGGAGAGAGCCAAGTTGGAAAAGGACGGTATAGATACAGTAAGCCACCTTTTAATATACACATTTGTAGTAAAACAAATATTGAATCATTTTAATAGTAATGTCTGTTGAGAAAATCATGACTCAAAGCGCAACTTTCAAAGTATATCGTTTTTTCATTTTCAGTGGTTTTCATTATTTCTATGTAATTATTTCTCAAAGGTAATGGCTAAGATAATTGACCAAACAAACAGCTGAAGATGTTATCATCATTCATACAAAAAAAAGATACTGAATAAAAAAATCAGTGAAAACAGCGACTGAAACCATTAATACATTTTTTGGGGGAAATAAAGGAATGAAAATATACATTCTGGCAGACTGCTTTATCACTAGAAACGTCTTTAAACTAAGTCTTATTGCCGAGTACTCAGCCAGTGTTAATATTTTCAGATGTGCCCTTTTTGGCAATAAGTATTACTAAGTGCACATGTAGATAACTGAATTGATTAACCAGGAAAACCATTCTTTTGGCTAATGTGACATTTGAATAATTAAGTGATCCATGACTTGTCACAGCGAAGACAAAACATTTTCTAAAGTGCACTTACTCACTCGTCCAGTTTCAGATTTTTCAAATTTAATCTGTATAAATCTAAGAACAATTTTCTTGATTGTGTTTTCCCATCAGTCATCTCTCAGTTCCTGTAAACACCTGCCAGGCTTCCGCAAAATCTTACCCAGAGCCAGCTGCTTCCTCTTACCCAAAGGCAGCTCCATAAATCACCAGCCAGGAGGCTCTCAGCCAGCGGTGAGCGATGATTCTGTGGACATGTCAGCTGAAGGATGCCTTTCCTCAGTTTCCCTCGTCCAGGAGTCTCAGTTCACTCACCTCGGAGTAGCTGGAGAGGTGGATCTCTCCGAGCACCACATTGTTGCTGATCATGTAGCAGAAGAGACACCAGTGGCGTCTCCTTCCATGGGCCTTCAAGGATGTACAGCCTCTTCTTCCTCCAAAGCCTCCATTGACAGCAGTTTCTCACAGGCCAGTGCTGACTTTACAGTAAACGGTTTCCCCCTGAATAAAAAAGACACCAAAATTCCTAACAATAATTACAATGGAGCAGCGACACAGCAGGGACAAAGAGAAACTACGCAGGTTGTAGCCATCGTACCCTCTCAGGTAAGATGTGATTGTTTTTCTCCTTCTACCAAAACTTAGTGTAAGGGTTCTAAAGTTTGCAGTTCAATGAGTGTTCCACCTATTTCACAAACCTTAGAACCTGCTGGAGTCCAAGTCTGTGGCAAGCATTGGCTCCTTGCGCCCAGTGATGATGATCTCTTTGGGGGCAAAATCGGATCAAAGTGCAAAACCTTCCTATAAAATGGTAAACGAAACATGAGCTGCATCAGAAGTTTTCAGTTGTAGGGTTAGAAAGATTTTAACCTGCCTGTTTCCCTCCCTGGGGCAGTCTGTGAAGACGTACACCAGGAGAGGTCGAGGGAGGTGTCTGAATCCTGGCTGTTCATTTGTATACGTCACCCGCCACAAGCCTCCTACGTGTCCTGAATGTGGAAGCCACTTAGGTGGAAAATGGATTCCCGCTGTAAGTGTCAAACAGTCGACCAATAACAATCCACTTCTATTTGTGGATCAGGGCCATTGACATCTCCGTACATTATATTAGGCAAAAAGGACGCAGGAGAAAGGGTCAGCTTCCAAGCAGCTGCCACAGAGAGCTGAAACTAAGTCTAAGGAAACCCGTCAAGCACCACAATCGTCTGCACAGGGGAGGAACACAGATTCTTGTAAAACAAAAGCGAATGAGAGCAACAAGGAAAGGCAAGTTCAGCGGTGTTCCCAAAAGCAGAGTGCAGCTTTGGCGGCGGCACCACCAGAGGGCAGCAGCACCAAGCTGCAGACTCCACCAAGGTCAGTTTTCCTCGTGATGAAAGCCGATTTTCCTGATTATTCATATTTGTTATTTGCAACATTTCCCTTTTATAGAGAATATTATATCGGCAAAGTCATTTGTGAGCTTTGCACCTGTTTTTTTTTCTTTTTTCGCAAACTCTATTTTGACTTGACTTACTTTTTTTTCTGTTTTAAAAAAGGAGTGTGAAGGACAATCCTAAAAGTGCCATGATTCTCAGTCAGAACTATAGCCCTACCGTTCAGCAGAAGCGGCCTGTGAGACCCATCCTCCCAGCCCTTTATAACTCAGGTTAATTCAAACGTGAATCCAAGAGAAAACTCACTATCAGTATTGAAGACCAAACGGTCATCTTTCCCTACACAGATGCAGATATCTGTTGGTGTTTGTGTTTTAGGTGGTGCTTTGATTCAGATCTTAACTGTCCCCCCTGACAAGGAAAAATTTCAAGGAGTAAACCACAATAACTCATCAACAGGTACTAAACAGTGGTGTTATTTTTTTTTACATTTCTTATTACATATCACTTGTAAATTTAAGGTGAACAAATGCAGCTGTTACAACTGTTTATTGAGTTCTTTTTGGAATGTGCCAAAAGCAAGATGTGTGTAAAGATGTGTGTTTCTGTCTCATCTAATGTGGTTGCTTTTCAAACCACAGCACATCCAGAGAGTTTCTCAGGTCTCAAACCCAGCACTTTGAAGCAGCTCGGCCAAGCAATACCACCAGCCGCAGCCAACCAGGTTGGCATGTGCTTTTAAACACAAACACACACACAAATAGAAAATGGTCAATAGTACAGATCCTCACTCTCTGCCTTTGTCTTTGCAGGATTCTGCTGTCCTTGCAAGCAGAAGCCAGCCTGAGTCTTCACTGACAGACAGAATGAATGTAGTGTCAGTTGTGCCTTTTAAACAGCACCCAGTTTCCAGTTTTGTCAGTATACTTACTCCCAGTTTTGAAAATCTTTCCATATTAGAGAGCAACTCGACTCATTTGTTACTTACTTTTACATGTATGTGTGCCATGTTTCTGTTTTTCTTCTTATCTTAGGACTTGGGTTTGTCCACAGCACGAGGCAAGGGTCGCTGTAAGAATCCGTCCTGTGACTATATGTATAAGAACAGACACAAACCTGCGGTATGCCCAAAATGTGGCTGTGAGCTGACCCAGAAGAACACAAAGGCTACAAAGGTAAGAGGAACAGACCTCTTTAGAATGATTAAATGCCATCATTGGACCTGATCCCTTCCTTGTGTTGCCTCTTTCAGTCTGAGAGTCTGCTAGACCCATATCAGGCCCTGAGCCCTGCGCAGAGGGACATCCAACGCCAGAGCACCGTGCAGCTACTGCGCAGCTTCCTGCAGATTCCTGAGAGCGAGACTGAGCTTCAGGAAACACTTTCCATCATCCAGGAGCTTAACAGCCTTAAAATCCTCCTGGTTCAAGCTGGTGAGCAGGAGCGGGAGAGCACTGAGATCGAGACCGTGGCTGAATCCGGTTGGCCTCAGTTCTACGAAAACGCAGCCACTCACTGCAGCCTGTGTAACTACCCTCTATTCAAAGGCGGGCAGAGGTGAGAAAAGTGCTAATGACTTCCTTGTTTCTTATTATTTCTGCGCGCCATCTGTCCCTCATATGTGTTATTATATCAGCACATTAGAGTAGTGGTATTGTATGAGTTATTGCCATGCTTGTGTTTTGCAGTACTGTTGCCGGTCAGGAGGACTGCTGGCTACTGACTGAGACGCTGATACAGACAGCCACCGTCCAGCTGAAAGTTTGCCTAAATGTTCAGTGTTTGGCTCTGCACAACTTCACTGACCTGCATCCAGGTAAACAGAGAAGCTTTCAGAAAGCCCCTCGGGTCCACCGAGCACTGCGGCTCACTCTTAGATCTACCTGGATTAAAAGCGTACTATTTCTTTAGGTACTGCCTAAAGCATTGTTAATTAAACATTACTAAGGCTAGATTGGATTAAAAACTGGTGCAAAGTGGAAGGGATATTTAGGAGTGAGTACTTGCAGGGGTGAGTGTTGCGTGGGTCATGCTGCAAGTGTTAAAAAAAAAAAAAAAGAAAGGTGTACAAATCTAATTTTCTCAGTCACAATCAGGACATCACTGACTTTCCAAAAGGGGGCACCATAACCTGCAATATATGAGTTTCATCGACAACACAGACAGGATTATAGAGCTGTACTCCTCTAAGATTCATCTGTTGTTTAGAAAACCTTAAACGTGTTCAGTGCAAATTTTGATTAAATAGTGTGGCATATTCTCACAATTGGCCGTTTAGATTGGTAGGTAGACTATTCAGACTCTGTTTCAGGTTGCATTCTGCTCTAAAAAAACTGTCAATGCTGTTGGGTAAGGACTGCTGACGCCAGTTTAACATAATTTAGTGAAAGAACTAGTGTAGATTAGGTTTCGTCAATTCATTTGATAAGATTAGACTTAACTGTTCCTTCAGTCTGTGGTGACCGCATTGCTGTGTCACAGCACATTAAGCTCAGGAGGCTTTAAGCATCTGTGAAGGCGACAGACTTGTCTGTCATTCATTTTCCATTATGTATCTGTATCTATACATTTGATTCTGATGAATGCTGTCTGACAGGAAGCTCTTAATCAAATTTCTTTAAACTTGTGCAAAAAAAATCCCCCCAAATAATATGTCTGGTTAACCAGACGGCTCCAGTTATCTCTGCCTTTTTTCTGGCATAATGTGTCTATCTACACAGTTATACAGGTGTTACGCCAGTCGCAGACCAACCAAACTTTATACAGAGGTACTCTGCTCTTTAAAAACTGCTGGTCAACTAATGTACATATGGAGAGTTGACGCACTGGACTACATTTTTACATGATGACATTTACTATTCCAAAAGTCAGTGGGGTTTTTTTTCTAATTGTGAAATGTTTTGTGTCTTTGTGAATTTGATTGTTCTTCCTTTGTTACTTTTTTCGACAGGTCTGTTCAACGTTGGGAACAAACTGCTGGTAAGTATTGACCTGTTCCTGAAGATAAGGGCCAACATCAGACTGGGCTTTTCCCCGTCTCAGGCAGTCACGACTCTACTGGACCACAGCCCGAGTCATCCAGGTACAAACCACAGCACACTCTCCTCCACTTCAGGCGGAAGGTTGACGGCTCCGTCACCGCGCTGTGTTTCATAACAAATACATCTCAGTTTCACTATTTTGCTTTCTTGCAACAGTCCATTCCCTCAGTTTGGAAGAGTCATCTCAAATTCATGAGCTTCTCCTGAGTGGCTACTGGGCCTTTGAGTGTCTGACAGTACGCGATTACAACGACATGATCTGCGGCATTTGTGGCATCGCTCCAAAGGTTGAGATTGCACAGAGGGACACAAACACCGTTCTGGAGCTCAAAAATGTGGAGGTGACACTGTCGATAGACTTAAGATGACGGCATACTTACAGCGGTTGGCCAGTCAAAAGTTTGGGCATGCGCACATAAATGTCTGTTCATTCTATCCGTTTTTTCTCTCTGTGCAGTTTACGTGGCCCGAGGGCTCAGTCTCAGATGAGGTTCTTGTTGATGACTTCTGGCTGACCATGGAGAGTGAGGCTATTGAGCAAGCAGCCTTCCCTACAGACATCCCCATCACACGTGTGGATGCTTCCATCATAGCTCCCTTCATACCATCTCTGATGAGGGGTCCCACTGTTATTAACACAGAAAAAGACAAGGTCTTACCACAGATACAGCAGCCTTCAGGTACAGAATGTCGCCCTGCAGCCATTTAATGTGACACTGGTCTTAACAACCATCGCAAATGTGAAAACATATATGTTGAGAATATGTAAAACAGATTGATTCTATGTATTCTTTGTTCCTTATGGGAAAGTAAGAGTAACACAATGATGTACACGTCACATATGTGTGTGTGTGGAATAGTTTACATTGACCATCACAATGTTTTGGAAATGTCCTTGTTGCGTTAGGAGATCCATCGGTTTTGGTCCGTCTCATTCATGATGGTCAGCTGAGGCTTGACAAGATTGAGGATCACAATGAGGAGGAGTTGAGAGCAATACTGGACAGCTGTGGGGCAAACACCACCCCAAGCTCCACAAAGGTGTGTGTGAGGAGAGGAGAAAGATGTTAATAGATATGATATGGTCACCATGATTGATTAATACAAGTAAAAATGACCAAAATAAATCAAATGAATAATACGTTGTTGGTATAAAGAGCAGAAAATTCCCCACCTACATTAGTTCTCTTGAATCTAGTTAATTCTGTTTGTTTTTTCCGTCTCAGTCTGTGACAGTTTGTGTGAGTGAAATCCTGCTCTCTGTGTCCCTCTGTGGTAGAACGAACTGCTGGCCTCTCTGATCGACTTGTACACACACGTTCACAGTGGCCTCTGCACCGCCCCCCAGCCCCCCGCACACCTCACAGCTGGAAAGCTGTCTAAGGTCTGCCCCCACAAGGTAAAGAGAGCTGCCTTGTGATCGTTTAACCTCTGGCATATGACGCATTACATGATGTAGCAGTGCATTTGTGGGAGCAGAGACCCTTCTGCATCTCCCTGTTCTTTTTTGAGTTTTTTTACAGTGTGTGGTTGAAAATATCAATGACTAATCTGGTAGCTTCATATGCCATCTGAACGGAACGTTCTCCCTTAAGACAATCATGTCAAACAAGTAAATTCAGTAAAATATTCTGCAATTAAATAAATAAAGCATTGTTTAGTTTTACAGCCTCAGATGTCTGTCTTTTTTTCACTCCTGTGCGTGTCTTCAGGTGGTGTGCTCCTCAAAGTGCTTAGTAAGAGGAGAGACGGCTCGAGATCACGTGGACCTGCTGCTGTCCTCCCGCCACTGGCCCCCGGTTTATGTTTGCGACTCAGCTCGGAAGGTGGCACTTTGCACAGACCTGCAGTATCCAGAGCTGGCAATCCAGATGTGGGGCCGGAACCAGGGCTGTTTTTCTGACCCCTTTGAAAACCCAGAGGTGGGAAATTCGCAACCAAATGTTTAATTAAAATGACATCTCTCTAGCAGTGAATTTTTTTTATTTGAACATTTTTGTGAACAACAATTAGGTTGAATATAAAATGTGAATCTACTGTTATTCCCTCTATGAGCCTCTCACTTGTAATGAAGAAAAAGCAAAAAAGCAACTTTACGGTTCAGTTAATTTGCATAAAACGCATTTTGTCTGAGGTAAAGATTCAGCCACTGTTATTTTCTCTTTCAGTTTGTGTCATGTGCTGAGCTGCAGGATCACCCGTACAGTGCTGACTTGTCCTTGGTAGCAGAGAACCAGCCGCTTCATCCAATAACCAAATCCTCCTCACGTTGGCTGGTTGGTCCTCCAGGATCAGTCCCGGAGCCTCTAGCACCGGACCATCACTCCATGCTGCTTTGCAGTGAACTGGAGCCGTACCTCAGCCTGGTTGCAGAGGTGGTGTCTGAGCCGAAAGTGGAGGAGAAGGAAGCGGAAGAATCAGCAGAACAGCCAGATGCAGCCGGGAAAGACTCTAGAGAGAAAACTGAGGACGGGCTGGCAGTTAGCCGCACGGCAAAACAGTCCATGGTGTTCAACAACACAGCTTACTACTACCTGTACAACCGTCTGGTGGATTTCCTGACTAGCAGAGACATTGTAGGAAAGCAGATCAACGAAGTAGTAAAGGCCTGCCAGCCCGGAGAGGTTGTGATCAGGGATGCTCTGTACCGACTGGGCGTGGCACAGATAAAAACAGAGAAAGAAGAGGATGAAATAAAGGAGACAGAGGAACAAGCACAGGGAGAAGTCACAGAATTGCATGAAATAGTTCTGTCGGAATAAAAAAGGCTGTAAAAGTTACAGGAGTGACTGCAGCAAAGCACAAGATGGAGCCACAATGGATACCAAAGTAAATTAAACAGTGACATGGAGCGGAGACAACCTTCACATCAGCAAGGAAGAAGAGCAAAGAGGACATTTGATATTGAGCGCATAAGAGGGTTTCCAGTGGGCGGCGGTGCCTACAAAAGTTAAGCTAAAGACAGCAGAGTGCCCTGTAGAAGTTACTGCTGAAATTCTGAAAGACGGTTTCTCTTTACAATGCCATTTCTAACATAATGTGATTTTTTTACTTGCTTTAAATGCAGGTGGAAAATATGTAAATTTGTGTAAAAGTGATAGAAGCATTTTCTTGTGGTTTAAAGAAGTAAAACATATTTTTATGAACTCAGCTACTTTAGGTTTAAGTGTAAATGTGTAAACCATGAGTGGTTTTGAGTATTTATTGCCTTTTTTGGACCTCTGTGTGCAGACATCCCTGCTTTGCTTATTAACTCCGTTACCGTTTATGTGCCACTGGCTGCCTTTTACAGTTGAGGTTTGCTGTTGGAAAGCGAAGACCTGTGATACATTATGTATCCCTTTATCAGACTATAATGTCATGATGCACCACTGCTGGTGGCCTCGTTTCTTATATTCTGGGTGACACATTCACTTTAATTGAATCGTGTAAATGTTTCCTATTTTTGAAAAACAGAGGAAAATTAATTACGGTACATCTTTTTCTCTTTAGGAAGACTCTTTTTCACAGGTGACCATCAAGGTGTTTACGATTAATGATGGACTTACTTGCTGATTCCTTGACAGCTATGACTGCAGACCTTTCAAAACAGACAGAGCATGATGCTTTTACCACCATGCCTGCTAACTGATAAATATGCCTCTGATCTATGTGGCCGATAAACTCATCCTCTGTTTCATCAGACCACTAAGTTGTTTGTTTTTTGTATGATCAGC